GCTGTAGTTTTCAATGAATTTTCTTGTAAAACAGCCTAGAAAAAAGTAGAATTGTTTTTCAATATAATTTTTTTCCAGAACAGTAAAGGTGAGTTTTTCAGATGCTGATATTGTAGCAGTTCCAAGTCATTTTAACAAGCTACACAGAGTTATTTGTACTAGTTATCCATAAACTCCAGGTAGTTTACAGGCACTCACATGAGGCTTGGGGGAATTTTCAGGAGCCTCACAGTTTCTCCAGCACTCTGCATTGATTCATGGACTTGGGTAAATGTCTTCCTCTGGAGAGGTCATGTGACAGAGTGCTGTCTGTTGGAGAGAGGCCAAGAGTGAGATCACAGGACTGTGGGTTGTCATGTGCTTCCACGTCCTGTCCAGTGAAAAAAGCCCCTCCCTCTGCCCAGCCAGCAGGCGTCTGCTTACTGTACATAATGCGGGACATAATGGTCCTTGCCGATTGTCTGGTTCAGTATATCTTATTACAACATTGCCGAAGAGCTGGAATGTTCTTAGGAGGAAAATGCTCACTAGCTTAACATGAACCCCTTAAGGGACTGAGAGAGTAAGTGCAAGCTTTAGAATGCAATATTTGACCTTGCCTGTTTACAATCAAGTGGAAGATATTTGAGATTGAGATTCAACACTGGGTGCAGTCTGTGATAGCATTTCCTTTTTTGTGTCTGTTTCTGTCTTCTTATGAACACAACCTTATGTTTTTCTCATTTTGGTTGTCTGGTCATAGTTACGTGTTGCAGCAATTTTTCATTAGAAGAATATAAGTAAACATTTTAGATGGCTAGATATAGGACACACATTTCATATCGTGTATGAATGCCAGAAACCGTTTGGAAAAAGGTTTAAATTAGGCTGGTAAGTACCAGAATATAGTATGGAACTACAGTAGTTTAATAAATTGCTTCAGAGTTGAAATCTGTCCTCTTTTATTTAAATAATGTCCAAGCATGACCTAATGTATCACGTAAATGGTACAGTATTGTTCAAAAAACAACACACTGAATTCAGCCATTGAGTTCTTGTAGCGTAAACACTAAGTGATGAGATAAAACAGCAGTGAGATTATATAGAATGACCGTTGCAGAGAAGAGGCTCTTATCTGTGGTTGGGTGTGAGGTGCATTCCTGCTGTGTTGATTGGTCTGTGCTCAGATGAGGGACGGCCCCCCTCCGTGGCAGAGAAGACAGAAGTAGCAGTGCCATCTCCCCAGAGGGATCGCAGCAGCTGGTCAAGCCCCTCCCACTCCCTACATGGCTCTGGGACACACAGGAAGCAACACCCCCCTGAACTGCTGCGCCGGACCTCCACTGCATCAGGTACTTCCCCATTACACAGACACACACACATGCATGCACACCCATACTCATACACACATGCATACAAAAAACAAACACACATACTCATACGCACACGTATACACATACACACATCAACACAAATGCACAGGCACACACATGTATACACATGCACACAAATGTGAAAACATACAAAACACACACACACACACGACCAACATCCCCCCACCAAGAGCTGCTCTGTTGGAGTCAACTAGTGTGTCATTACACAATCATACTCACAGTAAGACACAAGCACTCGTACATAAACAAACATACACAAACATAGGTACAGCTTCTTACACACATGCGCACATATCCAAACATTCTTACACATGTGATTTACCTGAATTGTCTTAAATGTGTTCTTGAGGTTCCTACTTCCTAATGCATTAGGTTATGCATATGTCGCAAAACATGCTTAACATTATTCTGTCTCTTTCTTCCATTTCTGTACCTGCATCTGTCCAGCCGTGGCTACAGCTCACTCTCTCCACTTTCAGCGGCTGTCAGTCATGCAGTTAATGATTTTCCATCTGGAATAACATGCTTCACAGAGAAAAGCATCATAGAGTTCTTACCTCAGAAGTGATTGTAACAAGTTTAATCTAGCTAAATCGCTGAAGTGCAATGGGAGGTACATAAGTAAGATAAAAAATGCAGTCTTTCCCAATACAGTTTTGTGTAAAGCACAAAATGTGTCTTCTGTTAATGATTATATTATATGATTGAAAGTAGTTATATATGAAATATTGTGGTTTATCTCTTACTGGTATCTGCACACCAGTGTATTGCCTTGAACTGTTCTTAAAAATGCTGAAATTGAGTGTGTCCTCTTGACAAATTAAATTTTCGGGTTGCCCAGAATGATCCATAAAAAATGGGAAGAAAACGAAAAACAAATTTCAGTAAAGGTGGAATTCCCTGGAGGTTAATTAATTGAAAATCAAGTTATGCAGTTGTCTTGCAGTAGTTAAGCTCTTTCAGCATGGTCAGCAAAATGGTGTCAAAGAGTAGTTGAAAAGACTAGAACGCAAGAAAATCTGTATGTAAAGTAGCCGTGGCATGTTCGATGACAAAAAAAGTTTGTATGTAAATGAGGGGCGGATTTTTGCTAAGAGCATTAAAGGGAGGCTTCAGTATTCCTGCCTTTGAGAACCAGACGTTTGTGCCTCCAAACTCTGTTTATACATTCAGCTAGCTTATGATATTTCTGACAGTTTTTCAGTTAATTGGTATAAAAAATGTCTAGGCTGGCAACTTAGTGTTTGGGAAAATAACATGACCAAAGGCTGCTTGTGACAATGCCCAGTCCGTTAACTGTGAGACTGAAGTCGACCAAGTTCTTTTCCCCTTCTCTGTAAGTTCATTTCTCATGTCTGCAGTGATTCAGCCATGATTGAATTAACCACTCAGCAGTGTTCATTTCTGTGGTTGGAATGAAGAAGTCACTGGGGCGGATGTTTATTTTTTTCTCCCCCAAATAGCTACCTGGCAATGTTTAAGCACTGTGACAGTGGGAGGGCTCTGACCTGATCAGAGGACAGTGATCACTCACTGTGTCCCAAAACAGTGAGCATGAGAATTTCTCAGTGATGATTGAATTTGCAGCCTGAGGCTTCACTTGCTTTACAGAGCAGATCCCCTGTAAAAGAGCAAGGCCCCAGTTAGGCTGTGTCTGTCTGAATGCGGGAGATCTATACCAGTAACAGTGGGGGTCTTCCTGAACATCACCGTGGGGTAGAGCTATCATTTGCTATCAGTAGCTCTAGATTTTGACACTCATTGATGCGTTTAGCCCTGGGGAGTGTTACGCATTCAGTTTCGTGTATTTGGTTTGGTGTGGTAGCTCCACCCATCAGCCCTCACTCTCCCATCACTACATACCTGCACTGTTCAGTGACAGCAGTTTGAAATAACCTTGTTTTGTGACCTGGTGCAGCTGGCCCTGTTGGAGGAGAGTCTCAGTGATAATCAGTGCTGCTTTATATACCAGGCAGTGGTAGGTCTAGAAAAAAGGGGAGAATCTGCATGGATGAACAGGTGACCCTCTTGAAGAAGAGATGACCTCGTTTTGGGAGACCTTGCAAAATAAGCTCAAATTTGGTGAGACATAAGTTCCTGTATTACAGGCTGGTCCACGCCACGAACCATTAGAGTAACGTAAGCAATGTTCTTCTTTCTATTTGCAGTGGAGTGGGGAGTTGACGATCTTCAGGATCCGCTTTATGAGTTTGCTTTCAGGCAGTGCTTAGAGTTCTCGCTGTTTCTTGGTGAATATTCAAAAAAAAAATGGTTTGGCATGCAGTGTTGCTGAACAGCGGATTTAACAGCCAGGTTCCATTTCGCTGCATAACCCGATGACTTTGCGCTGTGTGTGTTTGATGCGCCTCTGTCGCATGTGCTTATCGTGTGGCTTTTTATACTAACAAAACAGTCAATGCTGCATCAGGTAAAGAATGACATGCTGAAATGCTGGCCTCTGCTGTGTTTCAAGACATTACAATATTGATTCCTGTGATTATATATATATTTGTATATATTTTGTATAATTTTTACATTTACACATTTTGAAATGTTTAGTACCGTTTAGTACTTTTTGTTACCCTTAATTTGAGCTGCTTGTCTCAGAGGTTCCACAGCAAAAATTTTCATACATCCAAAAGAATGACATGGTTTAGGGTTATTCCCTGGTGCTGAATTTTATGTCACTGTTTTTATAACACGGAAAAGTTATCAAGCTACATCTAGAAACCATTTCAAAACTTGACTTTTTATATTATGATACTTGTTTAAGATTGTTTAAAATTAATGTACAGATATGTTTGAATATGCTTGGAATATTTCAGTCTATTTCTTCTCTTTTGATGTATATATATGTGATGTATATATAAATATATGTGTATCAGTCATCATTCATACCTGCTAATGACAGCTGGCACAAACTCTTACTGGGTTAGAGAAAAAGCTGTCTGTGTAAGTCGCTGTACCAGACTGTGAACATTAATGGATGCCTTGGACTGGTGTTAAGTATTGCCCTGCCTGTGTAATTGGTAGCTCAAATAAAGTGTGACGGTACTCGGTTTTGCCTGGTCCTCTCCAATAACATACTGGTTAAGCTACTGGTCTGATCAGACTGATATTATGGGGTGTTCCCAACAATGACGTGCTGTCCCTGTGGTATGAAGTCCAGCTTCATTGAGTGAGCGTATGGAGTGTGTTTGTGTGTGCGTGTCTCCATATACTTGTGTGTTTACGTGTGCATGTGTGTGTGTTTGTGTTTCCAGAGGGCCGTAGGAAGTCGGAGGCCCCCTTGGGGAGCCATGACCCCCGCACCGCCGTCCAGCTCCGCACTGCCCTCAAGAGGCTGAAGGAGATCATGGAGGGCAAGAGCCAGGTCTGAGCAGGCTTACAGCACACCTCAGCTACACACATACACAAATTTGTTGTTGGAAGTCAGCCTTTTGGCATTAATGCTAATGCAGGGATGACAAACATAGCAATGCATACGTTACATTACATTATTTTCATTTAGCAGACGCTCTCACCCAGAGCAATTTACATAGGTTACTGCTTTTCCATGTTATCCATTTATACAGCTAGATATTTATTGAGGCAATGCTGGGTGAAGTACCTTGTCCAAGGGTACAGCAGCAGTGCCCCAGAATTGGACTAGCAATCTCACGATTAGGAGACCTGCTCCTTACCACTGTGCTACACTGCTGCCGTTATTCAATAATAGAGATACTTCAGACACTTCACAGTATACTCGGTAAGCAAACACACAGTGTCAGATGCTATAGGGCCACGTCCATGTGTCTGAGCCTCCCGCGCTCGGCGTTGCAGGACAGCGACCTCAAGCAGTACTGGATGCCGGACAGCCAGTGCAAGGAGTGCTACGACTGCAACGAGAAGTTCACCACCTTCCGGCGCAGGCACCACTGCCGCCTGTGCGGGCAGATCTTCTGCAGCCGCTGCTGCAGCCAGGAGATCCCGGGGAAGTTCATGGGCTACACGGGTGAGTGACCCCCGGGGTGCGCCGTGTGGAAGGAGGGTTACCGCTAACATTAACAGCTGTGAGCGAGACAGACGTCTCTGTTATCACACACTACTTCAGTTTTAAATCAATTGTAATATACTTCAGCATATTGTGAGAAACAGGGAATTTATTTTAACAGATACGTTAAGTCAAAGTGTGTATTGCATGGTAGAAACATATCAGTATTTGCCTCTTGCATTTTTGAAATGTTATTTACACACTGTGTTGATAAATGCCATGGTTTATTAAAAAGCACAGCTGTAGTCATTCATCCATTTATGATAAATAGCACATGCTCTGACATATAATTGATGTTGGTGTGAATAACTGCGTCCTGTAGTTATGAAAAGGGAGCTGAGAACTGATCCTTGATCGTTACATGCAGAGAGGCTTGCGTCGATGTAAAATCCCATCAGCACTCTTGCCCTGCAGAGATAGGACCAGGAAATCTCCTCTCATTTACTCCCAGCAGTACAGTCAGTGAATCTGTTTCTACAGATGTAGCTTTGGATCTTATTCAGGATTCCCATGGTCTTTTAACTTTTCTTTTTTTTTCAAATATTTAGTCTGAATAAGCATTTTCTCCCTTAATTCCAGTTCGCCCCATTTTTTCTTTTGAATACATCCACAATAAAAGATAAATGCAAGGTTTTCAATGTTTATCATTAAAAAGTCATTGGAAGCTCATGGAGAATATGGGTCTGCTTTGACTGGGAACAGCTGTTCCTTGCTCTGTGTCAGGCCTGCGCACTGACCTGTGCATTAGTGGACTATAGCGCCCCCTGTGGTCAATGTTGAGCCCTGCAGGCCCCCAGCCTCCTCTGACCTCCTCTGCCTCTGCCTGTGTGTGTCTGAGCAGGCGACCTGCGGGCCTGCACCTACTGCCGCAAGATCGCGCTGAGCTACGCGCACTCGGCGGACTCGGGCTCCATCGGGGAGGACCTGAGCGCCCTGTCGGACTCGCCCTGCTCCGTGTGCGTGCTGGAGCCCAGCGAGCCACGCACGCCCGTGGGGGGTCGCAAGGCCAGCCGGAACATCTTCCTGGAGGAGGACCTGGCCTGGCAGAGGTACAGCAGCTCCCCTTGTAGCCTTTTCCTTTTCCTTTTCTTCCTCTGCCCACCCAACTCCCATCCCTCCTCGCACGCCCCCCTCAGCTCCTTCGGCTTCCCGATGGCCCCACCTGCCTGTCCCCACACCCTTCACCTGGGACGTCTCATCCTTACCCCCTTTCCCTATACCCCTCTCCCTTTTAGCTCTGCAATACTTATTTTGTGGTGGGGTGGAAGTGGTTTAAATTCTTGCCAAACGTAATTGGTCCCCTTGTGGATTGGACCGCATTTGAACAAAATCAGAGGAGTGTGCTGGAAAAACTTGATAACCTACCAGTTATTTATTGATATATTTTTATTTTATATACAGTTTCTTACTTTCAGTTCTGCGTTCTACACTGAAACTATAAAAACAAAGGTGACTGTCCTTTGGTCTGTGAGGTCAAATCGAAAACAAAATGAAGATGTGGGTTATCGATTTTTTTTTCCTTTGATACCACTCATTTGATCCCATAGCACATGCGTATTTAATTGGGAGTAATTATCAATTACAGAAAGTTGCCTGCAGCCTCCTGAAATCCTAAATCCTGAATCCTATATCCCTTGATCCGACTGTTCTTGATCAAATTGAGCCCCTCCCCTCGTCCCACCTATTTGTATACAGCCTTACTGTATTCAAAGAAAACTTTTTTTTCTTTTTTCCTCACATAGAAAAACTCCTATTGGGATAACAAAGAAGTGAGTCAGAGCGTTGTTTTTCTCTGGAGAATTCTGCTCGAAATTTTGAGTTGAAAGCTTGCTGTTACCACTAATGAATTTGAACTTTTGCATGTATGTGGTTTACTAATACAAAGCCTTGTTTGTTACGAAAGTAGTATGCACAAGTTTTGCAATTATTTTTTACGTAAAGTAACATTCTGTGTGTGTGCGTGCGTGTGTGTGTGTGTGTGTGTGTCCACTGCGTATGGGTGTGTGTGTGTTCCAGTCTGATCCATCAGGAGTCTCAGAGTAGCGGCATTAGCTCCAGGCTGACAGCAGTGCCAGAGGACGTGGGCAAATCCCCAGCCAGGAAGAGGTGAGTGTGCGGCCGCACTGTGCACACGTGTGTGGATTGCTGGATCAGTAGGTCAGTCTCAGTTGTTACTTTGATGTCTGATTTACAGCACCAGTCAAACGCTTGGACACGCCTGATTAAGATAATGGAAAACATGCATTCAGAGACATATTGATCTAAAGACTTGTGCTTAAATGCTTGAAATTTGTTTCTTCGGCATCAACTTCGGTATTTATATTTGTCAATGTATGATTTTTATCCATTTGTGTTATTTCATAGTTTTGATGTCTTCACTATTATTCTAAAATGTGTTAAGTAGCAAAAATAAAGAATAAAAGTTGTGTCCAAACTTCTGACCGGTACTGTAAATTCAGAGGACCAAAGTGTATGGATTTCCTTGTTGAATGTAGAGGGTCTAGAATGGAATGATATGCCCTGCATTTGATGGGAGGTTCAGGTTGCCACAGTGAAGACCCTTGTTTTTGCTCTCTGACCCCAGGTCGGCTAGCGTTACCAACCTGTCTCTGGACCGTTCGGGCTCCTCCATGGTCCCATCCTACGACAGCTCCATCAGCCCCCAGACCAGCCGGGCCCTGCCCAAACCGGACCACAACGAGGACGAGCGCAAAATCCTGCTGGTACCTGCTTCCCCAGCCCTGTTCCTTCTCTCACTGAGCTCCCTGGGTCTGTCAGCCTCTTCCTGTTTTCTTGTTAAATGAACGAACGCAGCGCTGATGTTTGACTGGTGTTGTGCGACAGGACTCGTCCCAGCTCAAGGACCTGTGGAAGAAGATCTGCCACAACAGCACAGGCATGGAGTTCCAGGACCACCGCTACTGGCTGCGCACCTACCCCAACTGCATTGTGGGAAAAGAGCTGGTCAACTGGCTGCTGCGGAATGGGACCATCTCCACCAGGTACACCCGTTCCCCAGGAGTCAGTAACTGTCATTGTAAGCAGTTATGGAGAATTTGATCATCATCAGGTTTGATAAAGTAATACTACTCTGCCTCAATACAGTGAAAAACAGGATGTGTCATTTTTCTCCCTCTCTGTTCTGTCTCTCTCTTTCTTTCACTGCTGCAGGGCTCAGGCCATAGCTATTGGCCAGGCACTAGTAGACGGGCGTTGGTTGGACTGTGTCACTCACCATGACCAGATCTTCAGGGATGAGTACGCTCTCTACCGCCCCCTACAGGTATGGTTTGGGACGCTCTTTTCTGCTGTTCCCGAGCAACGTCTCGTCTGTGCATTCGCATCTGCAAAACCCTGTGACGTTATGTGATCCCCCGAGAGATGCTATTTCTGTAACCATCTGCTCTGTGTTGTGGAGAACGATGGTGACTCAGTGACGGTGATTGAGAGTTCTATCCTCAGAGCACAGAGTTCTCAGAGACTCCATCCCCGGACAGCGACAGCGTCAACTCTCTGGAGGGACACTCAGAGCCATCCTGGTTCAAGGACATCAAGTTCGACGACAGTGACACGGAGCAGCTGGCAGACGAGAGTGATTACATTATGCCCAGTGTGTAACCTCAGGCTTGTAGCACCCCCTGTCTGTCTGTCCTGTAGCTCAGTGTTTCCCAACCCTCTCCTGGAGGACCCCTTGTCCTGCATGTTTTAGATCTCTCCCTGCTCCAACACAGCTGATTTAAATCATCAGTTTGTTATTAAGCAGCTTCAGGAGTTCATAACGAGTTGGTCATTTGAATCAGCTGTGTTGGAGCAGGGAGAGATCTAAAACATCTGAGTCACTGAGTCACAAGGGAAGGGAAAGCAGGGTTGGGAAACGTTGCTGTAGCTCATAAATTCAGATTAAAATGTCATAACTATATATACTGTATATAATCAATGTGTTCTGATGGACTTTGTATATTAGAATTTATGGTCAATGTAACTGTCTTTCTCTCTTTGTATTGAGGTCTCGTTGTAAAGAGACACAAGGTTTTGTATGTAGGAGTACAAAATCGGACCTCTCCTTCTGTCTGTCTGTCTTTTCCCCCAGTTCCCCTCTCTCAGATTTACACTTGAATGTATAGAGTCTTTCGGCATGTTTGATTCAGTATTAAAGCTGGTTTCTCCACCCCCTTGCCACACTCAGACTCTGCCAGCCCCAGCAAGAGAACCTCCGTCAGCAGCTTCCAGTCAGCCGTGGACAGCGACTCGGCCGCCTCCATCAACCTGAACGTGGAGCAGGACAACGTCAACTTCCACATCAAGAAGCACTCCAAGTACCCCCACGTGCCCCCCCACCCAGCCGAGCCAAAAGGTGTGGGATCCCCCCCAGTTCCCCACACCTCACTTACCCTGAGAATAGTGCTAGCACTATCAAGCCCTCAGCTGTTTCTTACAACCCCACATGTGCAGTCAATCTTGTTTGGCAGCCAGGATTTGTTAAAATACTACTGGACCCATTTTTGCCCACCATCTGTGCACCACTCTTTGACTGTAGTACCCCTCCAACGTGGAATTCACTTGCACCAATAATAATCATGCACAATGTGGATTTGATTGTGGTTGGTCTCAGCTCACCTCAATAGGGGTATTTCCATTTCAGATTGAGCCTGACCAGTCTTCCAATG